GTGCGTTGTCCGTTTTTGCTCGTTGATACGCTTGACATTTTCGGTAGTGAACTGCGCGTGAGGCACTTGTTGGGGAGACCGTGGAGCTGTCGCACGATCCACATGTGAGGCCTTCTGCAACGATTGGAGTTTCAGAGTTAGTGCGTCGGGCGTGTACCTTCATACTGTGGGCGGACGAGAAGACGCTGCTGCAGCTTGGGCGGGGCGACGTTGATCTGCTGCTCGTCGTTCTACGAGGAGGTGCCGTGGACACGCCAGGTGGAGGTTCCGGAGGAGGTCGGGGCGGTCCTGCCTCTTCAGTGTGAGGAGAGGAGCGGCACCACCGACATAATGGGTTGCTTGTGATCTGCAGGGCGCGTGCTGGTATGCCGAGGAGTGGGCAGGAGGACGTCAATCAGCCGCTTGTTGGTCGGCAATGAGTGGCGGTATTCAAGTCAGGAAGAGGTTACGGCGGAGGCAGAGCACAGACGCGGTCCCAAGAGTACCGCAGCACAGCCGATTACAAAGGGCAGGGACGTGGTGCCGCCATTCCTCGGAGCATCACAGGACTGGGATCGAGAGGGCACCAAACTGCTTCGCACGGGCCTCTATCAGCATGGAGAAGCCACGGTGGAGGGCATGATTGCGGTCCTCCCATTTGCGGAGCACGTCAACTCGAGGCAGGCTGCCGCTGCAACACACTCGGCCTGCTCCATTCCGTCCAGATACATGTGGGAATGTCACGGCTGCCGCGCGGCATGGTGCCTTTGCGCATCTACAACCATGTGGTCACCGAGGCCAGAGGTGTTCCACACGCCGAGGTGGAAGCATCACAGTCGGCATCACGCAGGACAAAGGCGACATGTTTCCGTTGTGGCAGCATGCCTGCCTGTCGCGGGATGCCGTCCTCCGTTCCCGCAGTGTGGGATTGCAGATGTTGGTCCGAGTCTATGTAAACGGGTGGAAGTACAGTGGGAGACACGCAGTACGCGTTGCGCAGTAGATTAGGAAACGAGATGCGGCCGCTAATCCGCGTTGCCTGTGCCGGGACGTCAGAAAGCTCAATCTCCATGCCGCTTGGGGTGGCGGCGATGTCCTCTCCTGACGTCGTGGATGGTGAGCGACCGTCCCGGAGCTCATGGTGTGAGTTCAGGTCAACCGCAATAGGCGCTGCAGGACCAAGGCGACGAATGGTGCTCGCAGAGTGAGCAATTACTGTAGGAAGGCTGCAGAGGTTCACCACGCACATGCTGGGGCTGGCCGGTGGGCACACGCGGAAGGCGGTGGTCTCCAGGCAGTTGGTTCCAGCAGCGACAGGCGCCCGCACGGAAAGGTGTGGCGCACCAATAGGGTCACGCCACCGGCACGCCCACTGCAGGCCTGGTGGAAGTCAATGCAGCCAATGAGCCTCGTCGCTGGCACTCTGGTGCCTGCACTCATGCAGAAGAGCCATGTCGGGCCGGTACTGCGCCAGTCAAGCAGCAAGGGCAATCCTGAGGGGGAACGGCTTGAACTTCTGAGATGCGGCTCTTGTGGTCACCACCGCAGCGGGTGATGCCGGCGAAGTGACCGCAATGAAACGACTGTGCGGTTGTCAGTCGGGCTGCAGGCAAACCGCCTCGCCGCCCCACAACCGACAGAGCGTGGGATCCTCTCGAGGGGTGACGCCGTCGTGGTCCCCATCACGCCCGCAGCAATGCCCTGCTGCAATCGCTCCCACAGAGAGACAATAAAGAGTCTTGTGGATGTGTGCCAAGAGCACAGCGACTGTCATTGCCAGAGAAGGCCATCGTGGCACCGTCCGTCACGCGTCAGCACACACCGAGCAACGCACGCATCCGGCAGAGCAAAAACAACTAGGAGAGTGGAGAATGACCCCAAGAGCAGGCAACACCTTCACACGTGGCAGGCATCGTGCAGTGGCGTCAGTCGGCCTCCAGCACTATGCAACAAACGTACCACACGCATCCATCCAATGACACCGTGATTCCCACTGCTAACGGTAGACACGCAGCGACCATACTATGTCAGCACGGGATGCAAGCCAACGTCCCGCCGTCGCCAAGACATTCCTGCAGAGCACCGCGCAACTAAGTATATGTGTGTGTGCTGGAGGAGCAGAAGAGAAGAGGAGAATAGGGAGGCACATCAGAACAGCAACAGGCACAACTGGAGAGCAGCGACAAATGCGGCACGATCCCGACATCAAAAATCACGCACGGTGACAACAAATACAAAAGCAAAAAAACAAAAAAATCCTTAAAGAAAAACACGGCGGCAGGGCGTGGCTGTGTGTGTGTGGCGCTGCGGGTGTCTGCCAGCCCTGGCCGCAAGAAAACAAAGCAAGAGGGAAGAAATGTGTGCGCCGCCCCACAGGCCCTCGTCGCACGCCCACACGTCACGGCTCCCTCAGCGCGCCGTTCGTCGCGGCCCCTCCTCATGCGTGCAGCAGGCGAGGCGCACAGGGCCGTCGTCATGAGCGTGTCGGTGGGTGTGCGAGTGGAGCAGTTGGGCGGGAACACACGGCACCCCTCGCAGGAAGAGTGCAGCAACAAACAATTAAAGAGGGAAGAGTAGAAAAGAAAAAGCGTCCACAGTGATTGCCCCAAAAAAGCAAAAAAAAAGAAAAAAAAGGGAACGAAGGAAATGAGAGAAAAAAACAATAAAAAGTAATAACAAAAAAAAAAAGAAAGAAATGAAGAGAAAAATCACACAACCAGAAAAAACGAAAAAACATTTAAAATATTTTAAAGCAAACAGCAAAGAAAAATAAAAAACACTTAAAACAATCATAAGAGGACAAAAAACAGAAACAGTTACGGTGCTCCGCCCATGCAGCCAGGCAGGACGGCAGCGGTGCGTGTCGTGCAAAAGAGAGCACCAACGGGCCTGCATGGGTGTGCGTGCATATATACAATGGGCACATTATTGTGTGTGCCTCGTGGGGTGAGGTGAGGGCGAGAGTCCATGCAAAGGGACACACACACAGAGTGAGAAGGACGAGTGTGTGTGCGGGCGGTGTGCGGCTCTCTCTCCCTCACTCTCACGCGACCACCACCGCAGCCGCAGCCGCACACGCAACAACAAAAAGAAGCAAAAGAGGGGGGGTGGTGTGGGAGACCGCGGTGCTGCCGTCACTGTCGCCAGTCGTCGCCGTTGTATTTTTCGTGGCTGCCGCCGTCACTGGTGTTTCTTTCGGATTGGCATCTTTATTTTCATTTTGTTTTTCTTCTCGTGTCTCTGCACCATCAGCTGCTGGGTCATCGTCTCCAGTTGTTGGTGTGCTGTTGGGATTTGTTATATTCGATGCTCCCTCCGCGCCAGAAGGTAAACTTGGCTGCTCTTGACTGCCTGCTGAGATCCCCTCTGTGGTGCCGTTAACAGCTCCTTCTTTCATTGTCACTTCCTCTTCATTCTCTTTCGCATCGACCTCTCCTTCCCCTTCTTTTTCTTGTTCCTCTTCTTCCTCTTCCTCTTCCTCTTCTTCTTCGTCGTCGTCGTCTTCGTCTTCATCCCTAGCTTCTTCTTGTTGTTTCGCTTCTCCCTCGTTTGTCTCCTCCTTTTCTTCTTTTGCATTTTGAACCCCGCTATCCTTCGTTGGACTTGCCGTTTCTGGTGCTCCTCCTCCGGATTGTGGTGCCGTTGCCCCTTCTGCTGGCGCTTTCTCTGGTTCTGACTTCGTTGGTGCGGGTACTTCTGTCACTTCCTGTTCACCGCTTTGAACACCTTCTCCGAGCGACATCTGTGGCCTTTCTCGTTTTTTGAGGTTTCTCTTTACTGGACGCACTATC